AGAGATGTAATATTGATCCCATTAAAAAACCTTTTTGTTCCACTTTTACATAATTGAAAGAAAGAAAAAATCGTTTTTATTATTGAGTTTTATTATTGAGATTTACACAATCTTTATTAATCTTTTCATAATATCATAGCCGAAATACTTAAAGTCATATAGATAAATAGCAGTTATAATGATATTTTCAATCAAATTGACAAAACCATTTTTATTCCCATACATTAATGATATAACAGAAATATATATATATAGTCTCATAATTATACATAAATTTTTTTAATAATTTTTATTCTCATACATTGAATTTTTGGCTATAATTGTTCTACATTTAATTGATTTTTAAAAGGCAGTTTTACTATGGAGCCATCGGATGGCTCGACTTATGGAGCTATCCACACTTATTCACCAATAGATTATTGACACGTGTCCTGCAATAAATACAATTTGAACAGGTTTCAATACATTAAGTGGTGAATGGTTCCATAATAAAACTATCTGATGGCGCCATAAAATTTTTATTTTTAAAGGTATGGGACTAGTTTTGGTAAACATGATCCTAATGTGACGTATATTAAAACATTCTTATAGTTATGACTGAGTTTGATATTTCCTCTGAAATTCTATGGATAGCCACACATAGCGTAATAATTCCAACACTAAACTATGCATACCGCATACGGAAATGACTAAAGGTAAGTGGGTAACACATTTTCAGCCCAAACTGTGATCCTAGCACAAAATAGGTCATAATTTTAGCCCCAAAATAGGTCATAATTTTAGGCCCAACTTTCACTAGAGAACAGCACTCCGGACTGGGCCTCACCCAACATAAAGGAAAATGAGCTAAATTCAAGGTTCTGAAAACCAGATCAAGGTTCTGAAAACCATATCAGTTATTAAATCGGTCAAGCCGTTCAATGATTCACTGGTGCGATCAATGGTTAAATTGGTTGAACAGATATATAACTTAATATTTGTAAACATATATAATATTTTATATAATTAATTTTATATATAATTTTTTAATTAAATATTAAATTAATTTAAATTATTCAAATACTTAAACTAACCAATAATAACTAATATATATCCATTATATTTAAATATGTAATTTTTTATTTATATTAAAAATATTTTAAATATGTTAAAATTTGTTTGAAAAAATTAGATCGGTTCAAACTAGTTTAACCGGACCAGTTTTTTGGCCGGTTGAATTGATCGTCGACTATTTTTTACCAGTTAGCTGGCAAACCGGTTCATTCATGCAAAACGATAGTGAAGAATGAGAGGTGTTAAGCTTCGTATTATCCTGGCGACCAATTTTGGGTCGTGGTCCAATTTTTAAACCATGGCAAATTATGCAACTGACTCTAGCATCTAGCTAATTTAATTTATGTATTCATTCGAGCAGCCTGGCGCTAAATAAACAGATTAGACCTTATTTAAAGGATTGACTGATAAAATATGCAAAATAATTTATATCTATCTATCTATCTATATATAATAAGATAATCATTTACTAAAAATAATAGTAAAACTTTTTAGAAGCTACATACTTTTTTTGAAATTTTTTTAAATATATGCATTAACTGCTTTCATATACACGTTTTCAAATAAGAACAAATCAGAGATGATAAAAATATTGTGTCCTTAAATAATTTTATTAATACCTACAAAAATAAAAAAAATAAATAAATTATTTAAAGTTATTCTATTTCCTAAGCTCGACTAGTGATGATACTTGAACTATAAAGTTTTGATCAAGTGAAATATAAATATCAACAGTGATACTTAGCCCCAAAAAAAAAAATCTAAAATAGTTTTATAAATACGTTATTTTCTATTTTTTGTTAGACTTTGCATAAATGTAACATAAATGAATTAATTTTCTTAATATGCAAACTTTACTAAGATATTTAATACTTTCTAAATGTAGCACTAATATCCTTACTATGCTAACTCTACTAAGATATTTAATACTTTAGTTAAGATATTTAATACTTTTTACTATAAGTATTAATTTTATATATTCTTAACTTTTCGTAAATAAAAATTTTATTCAAAATTAATATTTTCAATTTATTAGAAAAAAAATAAAATAATTTAATGTTATTATTTATTTAAATATCATTTATAATAATATTTAAATCATACATTCTTAAAATTTAATTTTCAGTATTTATTAATTTTTGAAATAAATTTCATTAAGCTTTTGAATAAATGTAAATTATATAAATTAATTTTCTTATAATATATTTTTTATTATAATTACTTAAAGTATAAATTTTAAAATAATAGCATTTTAATTAACATAGTTCTGTTAAAACATTTTTAATTGAAAACTAAAATATAAAAGTAGGCTTAGGAAGAACTCAAAACTTAAACACAATAAAGTTGAAATTCAAAAAGAGTACTCAAAAATCAAGCCATGAAATTTCCTTGTTACACAACACAGAACTCAGGAGCCCTAATTCTAGCGGTACCACCTAAATCCTCAAAGGTACAATAAAATTCACCTCGAAATCCTTAAAAGGAGAAAAAAAAATTCAAAAACTGCACAAATACAAGGGGATTATTATAACCAGATTCCGAGAGATCAGTTGGTAACTAAAGGCGGAGAGCAGAATGCGGAGAGGCGAAAGGAAGACTGCGCAGTATGAGGAAACGCACGCGCCGGGGGAACGGGAGAGGCGCGTCGGCCAACACGTGCTCCACTGCACGCGCCACCACCGCCGTGTATTCCTCCAGCAGCCTCGCCACCTTCGCCACCAGTATCATTTTCGCCTGACGAGGGGGGAATTATATGGTGCGGCTGGCAGCACTCGAATATCTACTCCTGCAGCTAACAAAGGTCGAGGAAGAAACCAGAAACTGGAAAACTTGATGCAATAAAATTAATTTGGCATCGTTGATTTATTGATCAAATGTGATCCAACGGCGGTGGGTGCTGCGAGAAAGAGTCAATACGTTGGGGTGACAATAGGCTTCCACGTGCCCCATATATATATAATATATATTTAAATTTATCTTTTTAATCTTTATCAATAGTGCTACTTTTTCCTTTACTTTTAGACAGGCTTTTTTTTTTGGTTCATTATATTAGTAAAGTAGCAAATACTACTTTGACGGTCGTCCTTATCCTTTGCATTTAATCCTTAAATGGCATTTTCATTTTTATATTTTTAAGTTACAGTTATTTTATATTTGCATTTAGGTGATCTTCGTGCCGTTTGATTTCAAAAAATAATTAAGAATACGAGAACGAAAAATCCAACTTAGTAAAACACGCCATCTTTTAAATAAAACTATTCGGCTAGTACTTATGGTCTATCGTAAGCACTTCTGTCTTTTTTTTTATTTATTTATTTATTTATTTATTTATGCAAATATAAGCACTTCTGTTAATTGGGTAGTTTATATATTTATTTATAAAAAAATAATAAGTGGACAAAAAACAAAAAAAAAGGAGGGGAGTGGACCAAAATAGAAAGCACGTATTTAGTGAATACGTTTTCTGTGTAATTTAATTAAAAAACGTATTCCTTAAATACGTTTTTTACATTTTTTTTACAAAGGAAACCGTATTCACGGAATACGTTTTACAAATAAAAAATTTAAAAACCGTATTCACTAAATACGGCCTTTCTATTATTGTCCACCCCTTATTTATTTGTTTCTTTTTTGTCCACAACTTTTCTGTATCTTTTTTTTCCGTAAAAGAATCTCTGTTAATGACTTAACACTTAGTATAAAATGGTACTTTAAATATGCAAATTTGTGGGGATTTGATGACTGATGAGTGTCTATTTCCTAAGGCTCCTGATCTTTTGAACAATTTTTGCAAGCTCTTTAGAGAAAATCACCACACGTTAGAACACTAGTTTTTCAAGGTCATAAATTGAATGCCGTCTCTGTACACTTTATTAGAAATATAATGTGTACTTTATATTTCAAATTAATCTATACTATTCAGTAATTTTCATTCACAAAACTTTCACGTGAATGACGAATCTCTTAGTCCGAAACGTTTGGGCCTCAGCACCCTTGACATTTTCTCTATTCTTGATTTGTAAGTTGGGCCTTATCTTAATTGCTATTACGGGCTTGGTTTGTGATTGGGCCCGTTGGGACAGTCGCCCAATGTCAAGCCATACACCAATCATACACTGGTTTTGACTGGTGGGTAGCCTTTTTACATTTTTTTTATCTCAAAATTCAGCTTAACTTTAATCCAACTTAACTATTCTAAAGTTTATTAATATAATTAAATAATATCAATCAATTATCTTTAACCATCACATCCACAAAATTTAATATTCATTCATTCACATATTTTTAGCAATCACCCCTCTCATATTTATACATCAAATCAACCTTAATCATTATATTTTTAATATTCTTTAAATACAAACTCAAAATGTACTACTAAATCATCAACTCAATCAATTTTATTCAAAATTAATTCACTTCATCTAATAAATCAAATCAAAACCAAAAATTCATTTCCAATCACCCCTTAGACTATCAAATGTTGGATTTATTTGATGATGGAGAACAATTTAACCAACTACAAACTCGAACAATGAATGAATGTAAAAACGTGAAGTCGATGCTCCTACTTAATTCAATCTTTGTAAGGCGATCTTGCCCTGATAAATGCCCATGGTCATCGATAATTGCCTCGAAGATACAACTTATAAAGTGCTAGACTTTTCAACAAACTTACTTGCGTTTAGAACTTGTA